GTAATGTGGTTTTTTGGAGCTGCTTTTTATTTGTAGACCAGCCTTAGGGAGGACACAGGAGCGACTTTAGTCAGGGGCGAGCAGGATAGGCGCAGCTTAGCGTGAGCGTTAGAAGATCTGGCTGTTCGCGTTGCTCGTGGCAGCTCCACCGCAGCTGATAAACCAAAAACGGCGCTGGGCTGGAGGGGAGATGCTAAATTGCCTTAAGGGTCCCCGTTTCTGTTGTCACCGGGACTCCGGAGCAGGGTGCCTGGACACGGCAGGGCAGGAGTTGGGAGATCTGTGGCAGCTTGGTCCCCTAGCGCTGATCGCGGGCGGAGAAGGCAGGCAGTGTGCCCCTGCCTGTCTCCCGCCTGCTGGCCTCAGCGTTGTTTCCTAGTAAAAAGGGAAAAAAAAAACCAAAAAAAGACAAGTTAATACTGGAAGATGATGGTGGCTGCTTGCTGCTTTCCCACGCCCTTTCTCCCCACCCTTCGAGTGCCTCTTGATCCCGGTCTGAAGTGCTACACTGAATAATACAAAACTCTCTTACGACGTCTTGTAGCTCTGTATCGCAGATGTGCTATAGTGCAATAAATTGACTGCTGTCTGCTAAGAGACATAATTTATATAAAATAAACTTCATAATTTGTTCTCTGTGTATAAATAACTTGTCTCCAGCCAAGGATGTGTTTCCTCCTCAGGGTGTGAGGAGGCAAACTCCTGCCTGCCTGTGGTGTTTGAGAGGGGGTGTAAATCACACACCAGCCAAAAGGGAGTGAGCAGGCCTTTAATGCAAGCTTCCACATACAAACCACCGTACAGGATATATCAAGACAGGACGAGCTTTAAGTGAAAAAAAGAATGCTGAAGTTTCATGTTTTTAACTGAAAGTATAGAAGTGCTGAGTAAGAAGTTAGAGGAGGCTGCAGCTCTCGGGCAGGCTGTGCAGCCTTGATAAGATGACGACGACTACGTTAAACCGGGCGTCCCTCCGAGGAGGCTCTGTTCTGTGCCCGAAGCGTCCCGGCTCGGTGCGAGCGGGGCCGCACAGGTCCTGGGGCGAGGCTGGTGCTCCAGCGCTGTATCCTGCGGGAAAGGGAAGGCTCTGCAAAGCCTGCCAGAGGCTCTGGCAGACTCCTGGAGGAGGCGTCTCTTGGCTCTGGAGTCTTCTTACCTTTTCTCTCAGTGTGGGCAGCAGTGGGGCCGTGCGGCTGTTGTCCCTCTGCAGGCACACCTGGGAGGGAGCAGAGAGCAACAGCTGGACGGAAAGGCAAGCCCCCGGCTGGAAAACGCCCTTCTTTTCCCCATTTTTATGATTTATTAGCAAGAGCTCTTGTATGTTGAAGCATTAGCTCAGGGTGAGTGGCAGGAAGGACAGCGAGACCCAGCAGCAGGACTGAAATGCCCTTTCCTTTCACTGGCAAGGGAATAAATTGCAGCTGCGCATGAAAAATAACATTTGCAGGTGTGAGAGGCAGCGGAGCTGCTTAAACAAGAACAACATGCAGCGATTTCATAAAAGTAAACCCCAAATCCAGCTATGCTGGCAGACGGTTTTTTTACGGGCAAAAAAAAGCACTTAAGGAATAACAGAGCATAGAGAACGGGGGCTATTAACACTGTTTACACTCAAAGTCCACAGTGATGGCCAAGAACCACACTGTGTATGGCAGGATCCCCGAGTGAAGCGCGGAGATGGTGGCCGTATGCAGCCGGCCATCCCGGACAGCCCGTAGCCCCTGTACCTGTCCCACCCCGTGTGGTGATCTCACTCGCCAGCCTCTCAAAGCCCTCAGGCAAGTCTGAGTACTCCTCTCCATAGGAGATCACCTTAATCCCTTCGTCCAGCGTGTTCTCATGGAGCTTCTTCAAGTCATCCGCTCCGTACGAGCATGAAGCGCTCCCAGTCTGACGTGTCCTGCACAGTCTCTAAAAACAGGGCCTGAAACATGGCATCACCAACAGTCCAACCACAGCCCAGGAACAGGAACGACTTATTTTCATACAGCTTCTGAATCTCTCGCTTTAAAAAAGGGAAAGATAGTGAAGTCTCATCTTCACAAGGCACAAGAGACAGCATCTGCCTTCTCCCTGATGAGGCTCTCTGGGAGTGCCAGCATCGAATTGTCCTCAACACAAGCCCTCAACCTGCTTTGAGGTGGCACAGCTAACAGCCGAAGGTAAAACCTTCCCCACTTTCTCAGCCAGCCTTGTTTACAGACATAATTTAAGTTTAGATTAGCTTTAGGTTGTGAATTATCAGCTAAGTCTCAAACATCAAGCTTGTTTATAAACTCCTACCTCAGCCTTCCCCTGTTTTGCTTATTCTCCTGCCCGAGCACTGCTCCCATTTCACTCGCCCTACGCATTCGCGTTACTTTAAACAGCAGAAAGAGAACCGTCAATTCCATTTTTGAGTGCCTCTAAAACACTTCAGAAGTCATTCTGAACTTAAGAAAAACCACCTTTTATAATTATAGTTGCCAAAAAATAGCTGTCTAACATCATGAACTTCAACCTTCATTTCTATTTAATGCGGATAGCCAAAAAGGAAAAAAAAAAACCAACCAGAAATCATACCTAGTCTTCTCCTGTCTCCAAAAAGTCTTTATTTCTCTTAAGAACAAGTCTTGGAAATTCAGCCAAGAAACGTAAACCCACAGATTTGAGGCCTGGGGAGCAGCTCTGCTCTCCAGGGGCAGAGATCGCGCCGGCACGGTCAAGGTAGCTGAAATTAAACGGCGTTACCTCAAAGCAAGGCACCACTGCCGCAGGGAAAAAAGCACCGAGGGGACCCTGCTGTGAAAGCTGGTGCCGTGAAGGAGAGGGAGCGATGGGCACTTACGAGGTAGGAAGCGTCTCTCCAGTCTTCCTCCTTGAGACGTCAGGAGCTTTCCGGTGATTTAGGCTACAGGGAGCCAGAGACAGCATAAACATCAAACTCAGCGGGTTCTTGGCTTGGCTGCCCCGTTCTCCTGTCACAGCGCGGTCTCTCATCACCTTTGTTCATGGCGCTAGGCTTATGGAGTCCCCGCAGAGGTCTGCGGTGTTCTCCTTCCCCCTCCACACTGAAGGAATCCGTTAATTTACCCTAAAGCCCTTGAGGTATGGATTTCAGCAAGGAACCATTATCTTTAAACGACGCGTTGAATAAACCTAACCACAACAATTCCACAAAGAACACACATCCAGCTGCGAAAAAGCCCGAAATAAAAAGATGTGTCATGGCTAAAACCAAACGCTGAAACAAAGTGCATGCCGAATGAACACCGAGGCTCACGCAGAGTGTATCTGTTTACAAAAACCTTGCCCTAACTCTACAAAACACGACTACGCCGCTCAGTCAACCTCAGACCTCAGCCTGCAGAGCCACCCCAGAAAATTCAGCAGACGTTTTCTCCACTGACCCATCGCCGAAGGAGACCGGGAAGTCACCGCAGATGCCCTTTGGCTGTCTCCAAGCTACATCCGCAGCGCTAGACCTGAACGGGTGAAGTTTAAGGAAGATAAAATCTGCGTGTGCCCAGCTCAGTGCTGGAAGAGGGGCTCCTCTGGAACAGCCCCCTCAAATTAGTTAAAGAAGCAAGTAGAAATTCATTGCTCATTAACTATTTTTAGCTTTGAACGCTGAGAAGAACTGCCGCCAGTGAGGGCATAATTCAGATCTCCTTTTTGAATTAAATGGTTTTAGGATGTTGGGAGAAGACAAACGTTATGTTATTGTTTAAAACCCGCTACGTTTCAGCGAGAAGAATCCAAAAGGATGTTAATCAGGTGTCCCTGGCCGATTCCCAAGCTCCTCCACGTCGGAGTCGCCATTGGGGCGGGCCCCCACAGCTTGTCAAAAGCATCCTAGCAAGATACGGACCTCAGCAACAGCGCAAGATTCGGCCTCCCCGGTTGCGAGTTAAAATACCTCAGAGGTTTTAAGGTAACGCTGCGATTCTCCGCGGGCTTTGGGCTCCCAAAGGCTTTGCAAGAAACGAGAGGGAGTGACGGAGGGGTGCCTGGAAAAGGTCTGTAACCCAACAAACTCGCACCGGAGCTCGCATCGCCTCACATTGCTTTGGTCCACCTGATTTTAGCCGCGCCAGAGGAGGCTGCGGGCCGGGTGGTTCCACACGCAGGGCTGGCTTTCCCAGAGTGTTTCTGGAAAGCAAACACACTGTTGGGGGTGGTGGTGGTGAGGGGGGGGTTCACACCTTCAGGGATGCCCCACACCTCGAGGCCTTACCTCTCTGCTGCGCCCCCTCCCATGCTAAACCTGAGGGGAAACCAAGAACGCGGTATTTCAGGAGGCAGGGAGGAGGAGGCCGGGGCTCCTTCTCAGGAGGGTGGAACGCCCCAGAAAATGGCTTTTCAACAG